GGGGGTGGGAGGGTGCTCGTCGGTCAGACTGCTACTGAGGCAATCAAAGTTTTACATCTATCAGCCGTCCGGGCCCGACCGGACCAGCCTCCCGGTCTCCGGCCTCCCACTGCACCGGCCGCCCGGCTGGGTAGGCATCGCGCCCGCAGCCGTGCGCGTGCCCCCGGGGAGCGGCCTACCCGCCAGCCGCCAGGCGCTCTCAGCGCGTGGCTTGGGATTGAAAAGTCCGGGCTTTTTCCAGAAAATTTGGAAACTTTTTCAGAAAAACAATGAGTTTAAAAAACAAATCCTTGCAATATTTCCCAAAACTACAACTGCGCGGGCCCCGGCGAGCAGACTCACCTGAGCGTAGCGGTCCACGACGCCCTCGCCCAGGTTGAGGTCCGTTCCCGCCGTACAGTTGCCGCCCAGCAGGTGCTGCGACTCGACGATGCGCAGGAACCTGGTGACGATGTCCACCTCGCCGGGGTCGGGTGCGCCTGGTCCGGGCACCGACCACAGGGACGACCCGGTGTCGTCCGCGGCGTCGTCGTCGAGCAGGGTCCGGTTGCCGGCGGGCGCGGTGACACCGGGCTGCCGCCCCTTGCTGTTGATCATGGCCTCCTCGATCTCCTCCAGGTGTCCGTGGACCCGGGCGCGCGTCGTGTGCGGCTGCGCGTCGTCGGCATCGTCGGCGTCCTCGAAGAGGAGCGGGGTCGGCGTCGGCGTGGCGCTGCTCCGCGTCGTGCGCAGGTGGCGCCCGGCCGCGTCCACCACGGCGTCCTCAGCGGCGCCGTGCGCCCGCAGCGGCTGCTGGCGGCTGTGCCGCGAGTGTCGGTGGCCCTGGCGGTGGCGCGGACCCCGACCGCCGGCCGCGGCCGCGAGCGAGCCGACCGAGAGCGCCACCGCGGCGGCGGCGAGCAGCAGCGGCAGTCGCAGCAGCATGGCGGCCTGCGGCGAGGCCTGCGGCGAGGCCTGCGGTGACGCTGTCCGGGGGCTTACCGGGCCGCGGTCCCGCCGCGCGCCGCCATCCCCCCGGTGTAGGGCCCGGGCATCCGCGGCGGCTCCGGCCTGCAGAAACAAAGGATTATTTATTCGACAAGCAGGGAGTAAGCACGCGCATCTTGCTGGAAATCGTTCTTCTAGTTATTCTGAAGGGGGTGCGGCAGGCAAATTCAAGTTTCACTTGTGGAGCCGCTGGAGCTGTGGTAGTAAGTGAGGGAGGAGGCGGGCGCCGCTCGCTCGTCCCAGTCAAAGCCTAACCTTCTCTCCCCCCCCCCTTCCCCCTCTCCGACACACGCACACCACCGCATCCGCGCCAACTCCGTCGCTCGGTATTCTCGCTCTACACATGGGGCGTGACGAAGCCGCGTCGCCGTGTGAAAGCGCAGGGGGCAAAGAAGGGGGCCGGGGGCGGGGGGATCATCTTGACAGGCACCTCCGCGGTACGGG